AGGTATGGAGTCCTTAGCTAACTGGCTCTCCACTCAAATGTTTCATTAATTCTCCAGCTTCACAAGCAGTCCCAAGGCAGACTGTTGCTCGTAACTTTCCTAGAGGTATTGCCAGACAGAACTGCCCCAGATTTTACTGACTTCACTCTCATTAAAGATTACACTAGTACAGCTGGCTAAACCAACTGGTGTTAATTTCATTCCACATCTAGTATAGAAATACCTACACTGAAAGAGAGAGGCAATAACTGTAGATACATGCCAATGTGCTCCATGTTTGAAAAATTACCTTCACAAACACCAAATGTATTATATTCTTAATATATATTCAGAGTGTGCAGACACAGGACAGCGTATGCACAAATCTTACTGTATGGTTGCTGAATGGAAGCAGGTTTTGTAAAGAGAGGAAAAGCACCTAATGGTCTACAACTTAATTTTAAAAGGCTTTTAACATTGTCTCACAGTGACAACACACCAAGACAACACAAAGAAGTATGTGTTGGTGAAATATTGCTAGGTGAAACTACTCTGTGATGGGTGCTATACCATTTGTTAAGTGTCCTTATGAGCAGCTACTAGTGAAACACTGTCAGAAAGGAAGACTGTCAAATAAGGGTCCAACAGAGTCTGATCTTGGTCTGGTTCTATTTTTTTACTCTTGACAGGGAAATGATACCCATCAAATTTCAGTAAAAGTAAGCTAAGAGGCACTAAAAATATTCAGAAGGAAAGATTTAAAATTCCAGAAGATCTTTGCAAATAGAAGAAATAGTCTGGGAGAAAAGGTAAAGGATCAGGTAAACAAATAAAAATTGGGAAATCGCAATGGCAGCTCTTTTAAAAGGAAACAAGGGCTGTAACAAATCAGAAAAACATATGAATCACCCACAACATGATGTTCTGAGAATGGAAAACATCTCACTAGGATGTAGAAAGTGTAATAGAGCTTAAAAACCATGTAAAGTAATGGTTCTACTGGGGAATTCTGCCAGTGCTGCACTTTAACAAAGAGGTGTATCAGCTAGGGAAAGTCTAGAGAAGGACAATAAGAATAATTTAAGGTAAAAAATGTGAGGCCTATAATGAAAGAAATTGCAAAAGAGAAAGATTCACGTTATACTTTAGGAAAATCTTCCTAGAGTACAGACAATGAAGCAGTGCAACAGATTGCCTGAAAAGATTGTGAAGTCTGCTTTGCATAGTTACAGGATGTCTTAGATTATCTTGACAAGCCACATTGATCAGTAGTCTGTAACTGTATTCTTCTTTAAACAATACAAACATACTTGCATAGAAACAGACAGAACAGAAAAACAGAACACCAAAACTAAACTAAAAAACATCAAAACTAAAAATCGAAAAAAATAGGAAATAATTATACTGCCAAGTACTAAAATTTACACTACCATCTTTCCAATTTTCATCCCTTTAAAGCCAAAGACATATATAAAAGCGGGAGCAGGATATGGCCAAAATTAAGAGATTTTTCCAAATATGAAACCTCTTACTTGGCATAGCCCTTATAGTATAAAAACCTCTATTAACTTTTATCTGATTGGGACAGCTTGGTCTTTACCCAGTAATAAAATTGTAAAAACGCCTAACAACCTTTTCCCTTAAAGAGAAGAAAAATAACAGAAACATTCATAGCTTGTACTTATGTACTGCAAATTAAGTGATACTAACTATGCAATAGCTGCCAAACTGTTGGTGCTCTTGTGATTTTTCTAATGACAGATTTCAGGAACCAACAATACAGGCTGCATCACAGTGCCTGCAAGCAAAATATCAATGAATGCATACAACACAATAGTATAATTACACAAAAACGACCTACTGCATTACTTACCTGTTAACTACACACAAAGGTGCTACACACAAAATGGGGATTTATAAAACAAATTTGCTAGTTATAACCCTGTTTATAACATTCATAATTTATCTTCTTTAATATTTTGTGGTGAAGTGCTGGGTCTTAGCCAGTATTTGAAAGTTTAGTAACCAGCTTTCAACTGATATTCAAAACTTCTGGGTACAGTACCAAGAGGTGTTATATCCTGGTTATCTGTTTGTAGACAAAAACAGTGTATCAGTGACAAGTCTCACGCAAAGAGTTGTGGTCAATGGCTGTGTCCAGCTGGAAACCAATGAGTGGTGTCCCTCAGGGATCAGTGTAGGGACCAGTCTTGTTCAGCATCTTTGTCAGTGACATGGACAGTGGGACTGCGTGCGCCCTCAGCAAGTTTGTTGATGACACCAAGCTGTGTGGTTTGGTTGATACGCTGGAAGGAAGGAATGCCATCCAGAGGGACCCTGACATGCTTGTGAGGTGGGCTGATGCCAACCTTGTGAAGTTCAACCAAGCCAAGTGCAAGGTCCTTCACCTGGGTCAGGGCAGTCCCAGGCACAGCTACAGGTTGGGCAGGGAAGAGATTCAGAGCAGCCCTCTGGAGAAGGACTTGGGAGTGCTGGTCGATGAGAAAATGAACATGAGCAGGCAGTGCGCACTTTTAGCCCAGAAAGCCAAGCACATCCTAGGCTGCATCAAAAGGAGTGTGACCAGCAGGTTGAAGGAGGTGATCCTCCCCTCTACTCTGCTCTCGTGAGACCTCACTTGGAGTATTGTGTGCAGTTCTGGTGTCCTCAACATAAAAAGAACATGGAACTGTTGGAACAAGTCCAGAGAAGGGCCACGGGGATGATCAGGGGCTGGAGCACATCCTGTATGAAGGTAGGCTGAGAATGTTGAGGCTGTTCAGCCTGGAGAAGAAAAGGCTGCATAGAGAGCACATAGCAGCCTTCCAGTATCTGAAGGGGGCCTATAGGGATGCTGGGGAGGGACTCTTCATTAGGGACTGTAGTGACAGGACAAGGGGTAACGGGTTAAAACTTAAACAGGGTAAGTTTACATTGGATATAAGAAGGAAGTCCTTTACTGTAGGGGTGGTGAGGCACTGGAATGGGTTTCCCAAGGAAGTTGTGAATGCTCCACCCCCGGAGGTGTTCAAGGACAGGTTGGACAAAGCCTTGAGTGGCATGGTTTAGTGTGAGGTGTCCCTGCCCATGGCATGGGGGTTGGAACTAGATGATCTTAAGGTCCTTTCCAACCCTAACTCTTCTATGATTCTACGATTCTAAGTCTCCTAAGTCTATTAGCAACCTCTGATCTTTAAAATGCCACACTCAGAATGAGATACTGACAAAACGCAGGACTGCAACTCCAGAGACCACAGCTTGAGCCCTGCTTTTTTTCACCAGGTTTGCAGGCACTCTTGGATAAACTATTTCACCTGTCTTTGCCAACTTGCTTCCATCATTAAAAACATACTGGCCTCCTTTATTATGCATTCTGAGCAACATTCACATCATCTACCCACTTAAACTGCTCTAAGGCATTGCAACTACTTTTCCCTGGTGACCGGGGAGGCTGCTAGAATAACAGCCTTCAATGCCACAAATAATTTTACGTGTCAAGATAAAAAGGGTGATTTCAATCTGAGGTGTAATTTTTCTGGTGCTACATCTATCCCACGCTACCCTGCTAAACCACCTCAAACTAGAGAACAGGAGCCTGGAGGTTTTTAGCTTCAAGTCTGAACTCAGCTGTTGTTCACCTGAGCATGGCAGCATGCCACTAACTTAGGAATCTGAGAATTTTCTCAGAGATCAGACAGGGTTATCCTTTGAGATATACTGAAGAAAAAAATATATAAAATATAGGTACTATCAGTAGTGCTATTCAGCTAGCAGTACTTGTAAAACTGATATGCTTCTGACTTACAGAAGAAACAGAATGGAGTTTGGCTGAAATCGAGCTTTTCTCCCTTCTTTCTCAGAAGAAAACAGAAAGGACACAAATGACTGGTTTTGTTCAAAAAGTATCTGGTATCAACAGAGCACTTGTCATAAGAGGACTCTGAGACTGTTTCTTGTAACTCTTAAGGCTCACTGTTCATATTCAGCAGCCTGGGAACCATCTGAAGTGATTTCAGCTGCAAAGGCTTTCGATATTCAAAACATTTTTTTGGGTTCCAGTCATTCAGTCATTAAATGTTTTTATTACCTTCAAATTCAGCTGGAGCCAGGATAACTATCTAGAGCTCAAGCCAGAAAAAGTGGAAAAATAAAAGCTTATTAGACTCAGAGAGATGCATCAGAAAGACTACAGCCTGCAGCCATGTTTTGCCACTTGAAGGGACTTCCCTACCTGTGCTGAAACAAAAATTTATAGCTGCAGGCCTCTGTTGGACTTTCATCTGTTAAATAAATGTGAGATATAACCACAGTGTTCTGACAGGGTAACTTCACATTTTCCCTTTGGATACTGGTCTTGCCATGGCTGCTGCTGCCATTTTTCCTGAACTACTGTTCTACACTTGTTTCCCCATGATGATGGCATGACACACTGCAGCAAGCAGAGAATGTACTCTCCTGTGACTCTGAAGAGTCTTTTACAAGAAAAAAAAAAAGCACCTGTATTGCAAAATCTGAGTCCAAATCATTTTTCTGGGTGATGTTCTGAATGACACAATTTTGATTAAGATGGTCACAGATACACATAACCTCATTTTCTCCATCCCACCCCCCAGCTTCTCTTTAGTACCAAGATTATCAAAGTAATTCTGGGTGGGGTTTTTTTGCATAGGAATTACAACTAAAATTAGAGAACTAGGATGGATTATATACTCTAAAATGAATCATAAATAAATCACAGAAATTAGTCATCACATTTGTTGGTGATAATCAATGCCTGACTCTTCTTAAATAAAGACATTGTTTTAAAGTTATTTAAATCCTGGGATCCCAAGCAATGTAAAAATAGATGATAACTCTATCATTCCAAAGCAAATAGCAGAGATTCTTTTTCTGGCATGTGCTCCAAGCGGAAAGACTGATTGCACTCAGTATCTTTTCAGCACAGACATGAGCTATATGTTCTATTTATTCATAAACATTTTTTAATGGATACTGAAATTGATTTTATCAGTAGGACAGACCTATCTCATTAAAGCCACTGTAGCCCAGCTCTTGCCTGCTTAGTCCCAGATCTTCGAGGTCCATGCATTTAAATCCAGGTGGGCACTGGTAACCTTCTTCTAGCTCTCTTGAACAGTGGGTATCTGGGATAGCTAAATTATTCCAGGTAACATTTCTGTGAAAAATACAAAATTAAGGTGTTACATAAATTTAGCCTACAGCAAAACTAAATACTTGAAAGCAAAAGGACTAAAGTGAAAAGTACAAAAGTACATCAGCTATTATTTTTGCTATTTAATGTTCTTTGGTATATGTAATTTTCATTAATTAAGCACTTACTGTAAAGGGCAAGCTAATTGTCTCTGAAGATTTCAGACTTATGTAATGATAGTACAAATACTAATAGCAGAAGTTTCATACTAATGCCTAGAAACCCCATAAAAGATGGAGACTCTCCAAGACAGAGGAGCTAGCATTCAGCTGCTCCAACTGCTTTTTAATGCAATTTGGACACTTACTGCTTCAGGCTCCTTTGCAGACCCTAACAGGGTGTTCAACTGCAGTCAATACTGTGACTTAAGACTTTCACAGATATCACCTGAGCTAGTTTTGACATTATTTGAAAGGATCACTGTAGATGACCCATCAGCCACCTGAGTATGTATTCAGCTTATATCTTGGTCAGGCCAGGTTCCCACCACAGATGAACAGTTACAGTCACAGGCAAGAGGTCAAAATCACTACATGTTTAGTGCAATTAGCATCTAGGTATTACTGTGACTGAAACAGATCTGATTTATTTTTTGGTCAGTCCAGTCATGATTTGGCAGAACACATGAAAAAATTTGAACAGGTTTGAACTGGTTCAAGCTGATTTACGTTGGTAAACATAACACTGAAAAATAGGAAGATCATGAGACGAGGGGCAGCACCACAATACAGTGGCCATATTTTACTGTTGTCAAGAGACTGAGTATCACTTGTCTTGCTGGAGCTGAGCTGCCGGAGGATCTGTCATTCTGCACCACAATGGGAATTCAGGTAGGTTCAGCATTAAGAGACGTAGAAACTAAAAGGAGAGGGAGGACAAGTCTGTAGCTCACTGTCCTGTTAAATCTGTGCCTGTGGCATGCACACATGAAGCTGGGTATCCAAGTACTCCCAAATTTCAGTAAGAAGCTCAGGCAGTTGATGCTATATTTACAGTACCAAATTAATAATTGTAATACATAATCCTTGCCAAGACCAAACACTTGTAGCACCATTTCCCATGAAGTAGTTTAATTAAAAGGTAATGTTTCTATGGACATTAAGAGGAACCATTCTATGATTATCAAACTGTCCCACTCCACCCTGAGCAGGCACCTATTAAAGTCTACAAAACAACACAGCACAGTATTACAGCACAGGCATGAGGATTCATGTTACTTGTGCTATGAGTCAGCTGGTTAAACCGCACTAGAAAGGTTTCAGTATGACACAGCTCCAACTGTGCTGAAATGGCACACAACTAAGCAACATCCATTTTTCTCCTTGCTTGTACTCTCTCTTCCAGCAAATGAAAATCCTGATTTTTGTTCAGTCCTAGGGCAATTTCAAATCAGACTTGAAAAGCTAATCATGGTGAGTTCTGATCTGAGAAAAAAACAGTCAATAGCATTTTCCATTCATGTTCAGGTTGATTCTGACTTCCTGGTCACAGCACAGACTTTTGATATAGAAAAACTCAAAATGAATTGCTGAAAGTTACAAAGAAAATCTTGTAGTATTCACCCCATTATCCTGAGGCTTCTGACCAGTGCCTTAAAAATCATCATTTTAATTAATCTTGCTTGTCCAGGTGAAAGGTGAAACTTTTCACTCTGCCCTTTAGTATAATTAGTGTCTTATTGTTCCTTGGAAAGTCCTTACAAACTAACTCACGGATGCATTTTGACAACTAAACTGGGTGAACAGAAGCTTTAATTATTTTTCTTGCTTTATGCACTGCATGTGATAGCAATAGATTAGTCTAAATCTGTCAGTGTGAAACGAAAGCTTCCTACAAAATTTTCCTAGGCAATTTTAAATGCAGAGAAATAACTGCAGTTGCACCCATTCTGTAGTCATTTTTTCATGACACCTGAGAGGTATGCATATATGCATGGATGCATACATCCACACAGACACGTACGGTTCCAGCTGAAGTTTTAAAGGAATACCGTGCATAAATGGGAAGACACATACACAGGTGTAAGTCTACTCTTTTCACCTTTTTGCAAATATGCTCAGCATATCACTCAAGGATGTAAAAATTCATCTGCACACCCTAATTCCTTTATATAGGACTATGTTAATTCATACCCAGTTGTATGCTTTAAGTCCTTAGATATATGATACTCTCATCTAAAAGCCATTATAATATGTAGGATTATTATAAGACAACATTTTAGAAATATTTTCAGAAACAAAAATGAATTCATTGGCTCAAGCAGACACAGAACCTGGGTTCCTGATAGCTATGAATTTTACATTATGGTTTCCATTAGAAAATCCCTCAGATCCAAGAGCGTAGCAGCATGAGGGCATATTATTAAAAGTATTGCTGGCTCAATCACTACAGTGCAGTGCACTCATTTTAAGTGTTTTGCTTAAACCTAGGTTATTTTTATATCACATCACACCTCCTGAAGAAGAAGAAAAGCCAGGCACAGAGTATGAATTAGGCTAAAAAGGAAAAATCTTTGCTTACAGTAATCATACCTGTACAGGTAATAGGCCTTTTTCTGACCACTGTCACTAGGCAATTTGTGTTCCACCTCAGACAGTAAATTAGCATAGAATAGTCTACACGAACAAAACAATATTAGACATACAGTCTAGAAGTGGCTAGAATACCACAACATGTTTTCAATATAAGATGATTTAAACTGGTTTATTACTTCATAGGCTATACTCAACACCAACTAAATACTGAGATGCTGATTCAGCACATAACTAGTTTTCAGCATCTCAGAAAGTTTGATTAGACAACATGCTTAAATATCTTGCTGAACAGGGTGCCTTGATGAAGTTATGAATTCTTGCAACACAACCAAACGAATAATTCATCCCAACAGACCAAATGAATATTTCTATGCAGAGTATTCAACGTGTATGGAGTACAACATCTACACAACTGCTGCATTGAGAAATTAGTTCTGCACAGGAACGCAAAGGATGGAAAAGGAGATAACTGGCTCCACATCACGTGTTAAGAATCCTTCAATAAGTTTGTTGCAAAAGTCACAGGAGTGCTACTCTGATATGTTTTTAACTGCCTGAAGAACATTCTGACTACATACATACATACGTACACCACAAAAAGAACCTGAATCAATGCGTCCTGGCAGTAAGTGTCCCTGTTTTCCACGGCACCTGCAGTGAAACTTGGTCTTTCAACTACTATGTACTCATGCAAGCACAACCTCTGTTTGAGCACAATCGCTTCATCAGGCTGTTCTTCAAAAACAGGTTTTGACAGCCTAAAAGAAAAATTACCCAAGGCAGTTCCTAACTTCCTATTTTCTGGTAGCCTGACCTCTGCTTAAAATAGAAATGGAGAAAAGAATGAGATTTTTTTAATTCTGGCTTCTATTAATTTTCTAAACTATCACCAGAAACCCATTCAAAATTACCAATCTACTCATGCAGCTTCCAGGTCCAGAAAATTACAGAAAAAATTAAGAAGGATATTTATTCATAAGGTATTATAAAAACCGTTCAGAATGGTCAAACAGGTAAAAGAAGTTGATAACTATTAGCTGGAACTAAAGGATTTTCTGTATTAGTTGAAAGGAACCCTGTGTCTGCCTCTGCACCAAAACCAGGCACTGCACAGCTGCTGACTAAAGAACTACTGCGTTAGTAAAAATACCATAGCAGACATAAAAAATGGCTGGCAGATCACAAAACAAGTAGCAACTGTACAGCTTCCAAATGGGGAGCAGTGAATTAACTGGGATCTCAGAGGAATTGGCACTGGGTTCCATGCTATTCATTTTTATTAGTGGCATAGGGGACTGTGTGAACCCCACTTCATCAAAATCACACAAAGCGTATGTTGAAGGATCACAAAAACCTTTGGGAATAGAGAAAGATTATGTAGCTCAGAAGCGCTTAAAGGTTACTCTCAATAACTGTGATTTAATGTCAAGTAATGAATTTAGAAAGTGATAGAACCTAAATGCAAAATGGACAATGTTGCATAGAAAGTACTAATATAGAAATAGGTTGGGATCAGATGATTGATGAGAGAGAGATTCCTCTTTAAGATATCAAGAACTCGTAGCTTCCTCTTCTGCTGCATGAATTTAGATGTCTAATTCTGAGCACGCAGTTTTGAAAAAAGTCCATTACTGCACATTTTTCTAATAGATGCTTCTGTTTTGCCATACTGGCAGAACACAAGGCAAAAGCACCAAGCTAGTGAGAATATAGCAATAAACCTAAAATAAACCAGGAAGATAGCACAGCACTCTATGCTTCAGAAAAAAGCTCCCACAGCTCAAATTAAATTGATTTAAGTATTATTTGATGAAGTAATACTACTGTTCTACATTGCCTTTAGATGAGTTACCTCATGAGTATTATTAATATTGCTCTCTCACATTATACAGGTGAATGACATCTAATTAATTTGTCGTTATTGTGAAAACCAGTTCTGTGAAACACCTTCATACCATTCTAGATAATTATTATAGCCTATTAAAATTTTTAAAAGATTTAAATTCTATATTATATCAGTATTTTATGAAATGACACAAGCTGGATTCATAGTGGGAAAATAAGGTCAGCTGTGTCATAAGCATCCTGATTTTAACAATGTTTTTGGAGCTTTCTTTGAAACTCGAAAATATAAAGGCAAGATATGTATAGACTGGCAGATTAATGACAATGGAACTTGTCAGGTCACAATCAGCTATAGATATTCTAGAGTAATTTCTAGAGTAGCAAATACTAACCTTTTTCTTGCTGACTTGTCACTACTACATTTAATCACATAAAAGAGAATTTCACATCAAATGCAGAATAAGCTCTGTTTAGCCATAAACACTTTGCATTCTAGATTTAAAGCTCCCTCCTGTAACTGAGTCCATGCAAATACCCAAGTCTTTTAACTCAATCTGATTTTCATCACACAGATTGGTAGCGCCA